ATTTGTTTCCCATTTTTTGGCCATTAAAATGAAAAATATGACCATTATTCATTAATCAAGCCATAATATTTGACTTTTTCTCTCTTGTGTGGATCCCGTAACGATTATATTTTTCATTATCATTCTTACAATAATGAAATCAAATGGGGGCTAAAGTTGCACGATTTGCTGAAGTTTCATATTCCGCACTTTTCGAGGTGAAGAATCCGATACGTTTCGTCACTAAAATATTGTAATAAATGAACATAAGTCAACAAAGCCTGTCTGTCCTGCATTTATAAAATTACCATAAAAAGCTTGGATAATTGCAATAAAATATGGTTAATGGTTGTAGAGCACGGTGACGAAAGATGCTCATGAATTCAGGTTTTCTGGACTTAATATGGATAATTAAAAAATTATCGATATTAATTGAAACTTTGACAGTCAGGCTGCATAAGAATATAAATAAATTTATATAAATGATAACTGGGTCATGGTTTTTACCCAAATTATGATTTCGAACTTGGTATACAATTGGCTAATTTCTGATTTATGTTTAATTAAGTTATAACGTGAGGTGATGTTAAACATAGATTTTGTAATAGTGATTTTTTTAAGGAAAAAATGTAATTAAAAAATGTAAAAAAGTTTTGAATTTACGTGTAAAATTATTTTTATTGAAAAAATGTGTAATTGAAAATAAATATATGAGTTTTTAAAGAATGGGGATCAAACATGGACTAGAATTTATTTTCAAGCTTTCAAATTAGGTTGTTACACAGACATCATAATATGCGTACTTTGTTCACATTCTCCAATGGCTCCTTGATTAATCTCATTTGATTCTTCTTCTTCAACTTTTGAAATGGATGTATGAAAGTATCTATGCATTTTTTTGAAACAAAGCTTCTATGAAGCTTTGAAAGAATTATGAATTTGATTGTCAAAAGCTTCCTCTTTGGCTTTTCTTCTTTGCAAGAACTGTAGTTAACAATTTAAAAAAAGTTTTGGATTTATGTGTAATATTATTTTATTGAAAAATGTGTGGTTGAAAATGAATTTTTAGAAGAATGGGAATCAAACAATGATTAAATTTATAAATAGTTTATAAAGATAAATAGGAGTGGATCCTACGAAATGGTTTATAAATTGGCGACAGCGGAGCGGAGCGGGGCGGGGCGGGGAAGAAGATACACTGTTCTATTTTTATTTCTTTTTTATTTAATTACTTAATTGTTTAATATGAAAAATATAAAATTATTATTTTGTCCTTTTTAAAGATTAAAAATTTGATCAAAATATGTTTTCTTGATCAACTAACAGTCAAATGGACAAAATCCATCTATCAGCCAAGCTATTCCCCCCCCAAAAAAAAAAAGGGGTCATTTTCGAGTTTCACATCCGCTGCTTTCTTTATTTAGCCGAATAATGAAATAATAATCAACCTCCAACGAAACTTTATATAAATTCGGATATATTTGTCCAATATCATTTATCAATCAAAAAGTATCCGTTATTTTCTCATTACAACTCACAACAGAATCATGAACACTGCCACGCTTTCAAACACGGCCAAAGAAGTGCTCCACGACCTCTCTCCTTATCTTATAGAGTATACAGATGGAACCATCGAGAGATTCATGGTCACACAGAATGTCCCGCCGTCACCGGACGACCCAACTACTGGCGTAGCCTCCAAAGACATAATGGTCAGTTCACCGGAGGTTAAAGCCAGACTATTCCTCCCAAAGCTGACAGACTCCAACCAAAAACTCCCCGTTTTAGTCTACTACCATGGCGGTGGATTTTTCGTTGAATCCCCCTACTCTTTGTTCTCCCACTGCTACATGAACATTTTAGCCGCCGAAGCTAAAGCTCTAATCATTTCTGTTGAATACAGGCTCGCCCCTGAACTCCTTCTACCTATAGCCTATGAAGATTCATGGACTGCCCTTCAATGGGTGGCGTCGCACGTTATTGCAAACGCTTGTATCGAAAAGGATGAATGGGTTACTAAACATGGTGATTTTGGCAAACTGTATATCGGCGGCGATAGTGCAGGCGGCAATATAGTGCATAATATTGTTCTCCGAGCTGGGGTGGAACCTTTGCCTGGGGATGTGAAAATCTTGGGTTCATTTCTATCTTGTCCTTATTTCTGGGGATCAAAACCAGTTGGGTCGCAATCAAAAGAAGATTTGAATGGTTTTGCATATAAAGTTTGTGTAGGTTCCGTATTGATTATATTTTTCATTTTCATTCTTACAAGAATGGAATCAAACGGGGGCTAAAGTTGCACAATTTAGTTGCTAGCTGAAGTTTCATATTCCACACTTTTGGAGATGAAGAATCCGATACGTTTCGTGTGTCTAAAATGTTGTAATAAATGATCATAAGTCAACAAAGCCTGTCTGTCTTGCATTTATAAAATTACCATAAAAAGCTTTGATAATTGCAATAAAATATGGTTAATGGTTGTAGAGCACGGTGACGAAAAATGCTCATGAATTCAGTTTTTCTTGAACGGTGACGAAAGATGCTCATGAATTCAGGTTTTCTGGACTTAGTATGGATAATTAAAAAATTATCGATATTAATTGAAACTTTGACAGTCAGGCTGCATAAGAATATAAATGAATTTATATAAATGATAACTGGATCATGGTTCTTACCCAAATTATGATTACGAACTTGTAATACAATTGGCTAATTTCTGATTTATGTTTAATTAAGTTATAACGTGAGGTGATGTTAAATATAGATTTTGTAATAGTGATTTTTTTTCTAAGGAAAAAAATGTAATTAAAAATGTAAAAAAGTTTTGGATTTACGTGTGAAATTATTTTTATTTAAAAAATGTGTTAATGAAAATAAATGTATGAGTTTTTAAAGAATGAGAATCAAATATGGACTAGAATTTATTTCCAAGCTTTCAAATTAGGTTGTGCCACGAACATCATAATATGCGTACTTTGTTCACATTCTCCGATGGCTCCTTCATCAATCTCATTTGATTCTTCTTCTTCAACTCAAGAAATAGATGTATGAAAGTATCTATGCATTGTTTTGAAACAAAGCTTCTATAAAGCTTTGAAAGAATTATGAATTTGATTGCCAAAAGCTTCCTCCTTGGCTTTTCTTCTTTGCAAGAACTGTAACTCCCCAAATTTTATTGACTTAAATTTTGAGGTGTTATCGATATGATTCCATACTCATATGTGAAGCAGAAATAAAATTGAAAGTTTAAAACTCCTAATTTATTTAATACTCAAATACTGGATAATAATAATAATAATAATAATAATAATAATAATAATAATAATAATAATAATATGTCACGTAACATAAAACATTCAATAGAAAGATATGAAAACATAAAATGTCCTAACAGAAATATTATTATTATTAATATTATATTTTTTTTATATTTCTTTTTTCTAAAAATTTTACTTGGCCGTCAACTCACTGCTCAGCTACCATCCACACCGAACTCACTAACCTAAAATGTTAGAATTTGAAGGAGTGAATAATCCATACTCAGTAGGATACATGGGTCCAAAAAATATAATAACTTTTTAAACATAAGTTTATAACATTCCATACCATCATTTTATCAAGAGCAATCGGAGATCAATCGAATGCTCTAACACATTTCCGTGCAAACAATTGAGAAAACCCTAAGAGATCTCTTATTTCATTTCATTTCATTAAGACCCACAGGTTAATTAGCATTTCACAAAATAAATTACATAAAAAAATTATAATATTGCAAAAAAAAAATTAACTTGTACATAGTATCCTACCTTGATTGATAAAGGAGAATTGTTAGAAGAAAAATAAGTAATTCACGTTCCAAAATTTTCTCCTAGGTATTGCTGCTACAACTGTATGTGTATCTAAATTTTTTAAGGTTAATAATCAGAATCTTGTACTGTATTTTAGGTTGAAATGGAATATTGGTGGCCTACAATCTGTCAAAAAGCCGTGTATTAAAGCGTGTTTCACCCCATAAGACGTCTGAATCCCGAAATCCATTCAATCAAGACTCAATTCCACTCGTTTTTCCGTAAAATGTGTCTCAATTCCATACAATTAACAGATATTTCTAATCATCACATGGTAGTCTAACTGTGAATTCCTAAAATCATGGTAATTAAATAATATTAAAATGCGTCTTGTTGACATCAATCTCCAAAATCAAGGCAAATAAATAATATTAAAATACAATTAGTCGACATCAATCTCCAAGATTAGTTGACATCAATCTCCAAAATCAAGGCAAATTTA